TCTGATCTTCAGAAAAGTTTATTTATTAAAATACAAATGAAATATCACTACACAAAGTATGGGTCTCAACCTGAGCCAGGTATTGATTGGCCAGCCCCACAATTTCTGTGCTCTGATAACCCTTTTTACCACCCTGTTCCCATTAGCAGTCATTCCCCATCCTCTCCAGTCATCCTGGCACCCACCAGTCTTCCTGTCCTTATCGATCTCTGGGCATGTCATAGTACAGCATGCATGACCAGCCTCTACCAGTCCAGTCAGGCTTGGTTGTGGTATCAGAGGTTGGGTTGGTCTACAGGCTCCACCATCCTTGAACTAAGGTTCCCTTTTCGGGTTCCTGCCCTCTTCCCAGTGATGCCCAGGGTCTGACTGCCCTTTTGTACTGATGTCCACAAGGAGCCAGAAGCCCCTCTCCTAGCTTCTTCTCTGGACCAGCCAGCAGTGGCATATAGGCCATCTACCTGTGTTTGGCAGAATGTCTCCAGCCACTCTATTAACCTTGAAAGGTCCCACAGCAGGCCTGTCCTTGGCACAAGGCCTTTCTCCGCACACCCTCCAGGTATTATTTAATAGCCAGACATACTTTCTGTGCTAACCTCCCTTTGACAACCGCCTCCGTGTTTGTGGACGCTGTGTCCCCACACTTTGAGGTGCCGTTTCTTCTGTCTTGCATCCTCGCTGGCCCCTTCTTTTAAGGTGCGGTTCAAATGTTATTCCTATAGCCTCAGTCCAGCTCAGGACTAGGGAGCCATTGTCCCCGAGGTCTAGCTGGCTCCAGGAAGAGAAGCACAGGGGTGGCTAAGCTGAGCATGCCCAATTCCTCCCAGGGCAGGCACAAGTAGGAAGCAGAGATACTCCACCCTGAGGAAGAGAAGGGAGATCAAGGACCCCATGCCTGTTACCTGCCTGCTCTCGCCACTCAGGTAGCTCCAGTTCACTGCCCTCCCCTAGCCCACTGCTGAATTACACTATGTGGAGTGGTCAGACCCTCCTAGAGGATATTGCTTGACCTTTGGAGCCTATTCCCGAGTGGGACTGCCAATCTAACTTTGGAAAATCTGTGGTTCCCTGTGTGGCACAGTCACTCTGCTCGGCTCACAACCCCCTAGTGGTAACCTTGGCATTGGTAGTTTGTTCATTAAACCAGGCTTCTGGGAGAGATGTGGAGCTCGGTCCTGGTAAGGAATGAGCGGTAAGTCCCCCCGCCCCGTGAGTGTCCTGCTTCCCACTGCTTGCAGTCAGTGTCCACTGAGTGTCACCCTGGTTTCCCCTTAGCCACTGTGGCAGGTTTCACTAATCACCTCCCTCTTCAGCACCCCCAGATCCAGCTGTAACTTGGGACTTGAAAGGCCTTAGTCTCTCTGGGTGGGAGTCTTGCTGCTGTTCTGCTCGCTGGCGTGGCTCTTCTCCTGGTATCTGCATTTCTCGTCCATCTCTTCAGCCTCCCCTCTTGACAGTAAAATATAAGAAGCTTCTAGCATGCAAACAGGAGAGCCACCCAGTCCTCCCCCTCCTCCAACTCTTTTCACTTCTGGGCATTCTGCAAGAGGAAACTGTAAAATCATGGGCTCCCCCACCAACACCAAAGGTGGTCATTTCTCTCACGTCACCACCCCCTCCCTGGGAGTCTGGGGACAAAGTCTGTCCCCTTAAAACACTCACAAGCTGCTTCACTAGGAAACCACATCCCTCTCCTGTGTTTGCCGCTTTGCATTAAGGGTTTATTACATTTTTATAGCAGTGGGCTCGTAATTAAGGGATCTGTGTAGTCTCTCCTGGAGGCGATGATGTGAAGGCTTGGCTTAGTGCTGAGATGGGGATGTGTCTCCTCCTGCCATTTCTCCTCGCTCTCAAGGGAGTCTCTCCTGTCTTGGCCCCTGGCTCCACCCACCCTCCCTCCTCCCAGTAGGATGAAAGGAAGAGGAGGCATTACATCTTCCCACTTTTGTCTCCAGCTTTGAGCCACCCCACTGGAGGGCCATCTGTGTTTGGTGAAATCCCCTTGTCTCTCTACAGCAGCAATGACGGGTCAGGAGGCCAGGCTATAGAGCTAGCGTGTTTCCTTTGCTCACAGGGACACGGAGATCGATGACCTGAAGACTCAGCTGTCTCGCATGCAGGAGGACTGGATTGAGGAGGAGTGCCACCGTGTGGAAGCCCAGTTGGCTCTGAAAGAGGCCCGCAAGGAGATCAGGCAGCTCAAGCAGGTCATCGACACCGTCAAGAACAACCTGATTGACAAGGACAAAGGGCTACAGAAATACTTCGTGGATATCAATATCCAGAACAAGAAGCTGGAGACGCTGCTGCACAGCATGGAAGTAGCCCAGAATGGAATAGCCAAGGAGGAAGGAACCGGGGAGTCGGCTGGTGGGTCCCCGGCACGCTCCCTCACCCGCAGCTCCACCTACACCAAGCTGAGTGACCCAGCTGTCTGTGGTGACCGCCAGCCAGGGGATCCCTCCAGCACCTCTGCTGAGGATGGAGCTGACAGTGGATTTGTGGCTGCTGATGACACACTGAGTCGGACGGACGCCCTGGAGGCCAGCAGCCTGCTGTCGTCAGGAGTGGACTGTGGCCTTGAGGAAGCCTCGCTGCAGAGCTCCTTCAACCTGGGCCCTCGCTTCCCTGCCAGCAACACCTACGAGAAGCTCCTGTGTGGCATGGAGGCCGGTGTGCAAGCCAGCTGCATGCAGGAGCGGGCCATCCAGACAGACTTGGTGCAGTACCAGCCTGACCTGGACACCATCCTGGAGAAAGTAGGCCAGGCTCAGGTGTGTGGGACAGTCCCCAAGGACAGGCACTCAGAGCTGGCTCCCCACCCCTCAGGGCCCAGAGACCCCAACTCAGCAGTGGTGGTAACAGTGGGTGACGAGCCTGAGGCCCCAGAGCCCATCACCTGTGGGCCAACTACACACCGGCCTGCAGCCAACTCCAACCCGGGACTACCAGTGAGTGTGGTGTGTCCCGTGGAAGAGGAGGAGGAGGTAGCTGCCTCTGAAAAGGAACCCAAGAGTTACTGGAGCCGCCACTACATTGTGGATCTGCTGGCTGTGGTAGTGCCGGCTGTGCCAACAGTGGCTTGGCTCTGCCGCTCCCAGCGGCGCCAGGGCCAGCCCATTTACAACATCAGCTCCTTGCTGCGGGGCTGCTGCACAGTGGCCTTGCACTCCATCCGTAGGATCAGCTGCCGCTCACTCAGCCAGCCAAGCCCCAGCTCAGCGGGCGGCTCCCAGCTCTGAGGTGGCTGCCAGCCCTCCACTTTTGGCAGCCTGACCACTGATTGTAGGATGCCATTTGCTGCCCTCACACCCCCATGGGCATCCTCTCAATTTACTTTCAGGTCTGGAATAGCGCCCCCACCCCAGATGTTCATAGTGTCAGGGCCTCAGGAAGGCAATCCCAAAGCCTGAGAAAAGAGGTAAAGGTGGCCAGTTGAAGAGGGAGATACTGGTAAGAGCTCCCCTCTGGCCCCTCTGTCCACCCAGACTTCAGATGAGGCAGGCCCTGCTCAGAAAGTCTTGGGCTGTGTTGATCTGAGGACCTCTTTCCCTTGCACCATCCTTTCCAGCACCCAGCCCACTCCGTGTCTTCTCTCCCAGGCCACCCCTTGCCCTCTCCTCTGGCTCCTGGACCAGTATTAGCTCCTCAAATGGAGGCAGCCAGGACTCAAAATGCAGAGAACCACTCCAAGCAGGGTCTGGCTGCCCCAGGTCCCACTGAAGCTCCAGCCTCTCCTCCCTTGTCCTGGGATGCAAAAGTACGATCCAGCTGGAAGGACCAGCTCAGGCAGGAGGGGTAGAGGGCAGGGTAGGTTCTGTGTCTGTCTGTTTGTCCTCCAGGCCTTTCCCCCACAGTCCGTTTTCCTCTTGGCTCCTGGGTGTGTTTGATCTTCATGAGCTGTCCAATGCCCATTGCTACCCCTGACACACTAATTACGGATTGGGAGAGAGCGCTTCCCCAAGCCCCAGCTTCCATTGGGTGAACCTGTCAGCACAGAGAAGGCAAGGCGAGCGGCTCTAGGGGCCCTTTACCTTCTGAGATGAGTCATCTCAGCTGTAGCCTAGAGGTACCTCAGCCATTTGGGAAAGTCAGGGGCCCCTTGCCCCAGGCCCCTTTGGCCTGACCCTACCTATGTTTGCACTTGGTTCCTTTAGGGTCTTGGTTTCCTGCCCACCCCAGAACCCCCAAGCGGCTTGCTTTCTGGGATGAGGGTTTCTGAATCTGACCCAGCTATCTCCAGAGGAAGGTGGCCATCTGGAGGAATCTGAACGGGGTTCTGAAGTCACAGCATCTGCCTATCCATGCCAAAGCAGGGTCCCCTGGGCATGTTTCCTAATCAGGGGCATGGCCAGGCAGTGGGAGCCTGCCTGGGCTGCTCCTGCTCCAGGCCCAGGCAGCCTGGGAAGAGCCCTGATCCTCACTTCCCTCTTCTTCCCAGAGAGGTCAGACCTGACTGGCCCACACCGGGGAGTTGGTAGAAGCCTGCATCTCACTCTCTGACCTAGAAGCCTCTCTGGTTCTCTGCTAAGGTCGCTTGCCCTCACCGTTGCCCCAGTGGCCACTACTTGACTCATGAGTTCTGCCCCTCCACTCTGTGCCCTCCCCCGAGGGCACCTGCATGCACTGGGAGTGGGCAGCCAGCCTAGCCATCAGGGCAAGAGCCCTCTGCCACGCGCTTTGTGCCTCCAAAACTCCCCCACCTTGGCTGAGGCCTCAGACCAGCCGTCCTTGGTGGAGCACCCCTACCCCAGCTGAACCAAACCCAAATGCCTGAGGCCTCGCTGGGGCTGCCCCATAGGACACTGGGGTGGTGCCATGGAGAGACGGGATAAAACTGATCCAAAGCCAAGCCAGGACTGGCTACGGACCCAGCCTCCTGCGCCGTGCACTCCTGGAGCTCCATATGTCTCCTTAGCAACAGTCGAAGCTCTGCTGAGAAAATAAATGTATGAACTATATTTGACAACATAAATCCATATATTTTTCACCACTGGCATTTAGTCCAACTTCACAGCCCCTCTCTGTTCCATGTCTTGCTGTCTGGGCCTTCTTGTCGTGTCTCGTGTTTTTGGTGAACTTGGGCAGGGTTAGAACTGCGGTCCACTCTGTTCCTGCTGCTGGAGAAGCCATTGCAAAGTGCCCGGGTCTGTAGAGGCAGTAAGTGAAACTGACCGTCCTCGCTGCTCCTGCTCCGACCCTAGCCCCGCCTCGCAGGGGTCCTCTTCTGGGAGTTCTGCCTATCAGAAGGGCTCTGCTCCTTGCCAGTGGAGTGAGCAGATTACCCAGTCCTTGGGTGAGCCTGGATCCCTGCAGGCTGGTGTACAGGCCCTGCTCCCAAGTGTATATAAGCTCAGAGTCACGTATCTGCAAAAAGGGGCTGCGATGCCAGGAGGTGGGCTTGGAAGTAGACACTTCAGCAGCCTGCTGGTTCCAGACGTGGAGAAGGGGGCTGAGAGCAAGTTGGGGCTGAGAGCAAGTTGGGACTGGGCCAGGCTCCCTCGTAGATGCTCGTTCCCAAAGCTCCCCCCTTTCCTTCCAGTTGGCCACCCCCATAGGCTGCGATTTGCCCTCTTGCCCTTGGCTCCTGGAGCAGAAATGTTTAGGGTGCTCCTGTCCCCTGCCTCCAGTCAGAGCTGACAAGGTCTTGAGGAAGTGTCCCCAGGAACTACCTTCTCTAACTACTGAGCCCTCGGAGCAGAGTGGCTTGAAATCCTGGCTCCTTAGTTCTGGAGCCCTCTGTAAGGGCTCAGTGAGGACTTCTGAACCGAGGCAGCCTTGAGCAGAGTTCGTGACCTATGCCTTCAAGCAGGTAGCATCCATAGCTTTTCACTGAGACCCCTTCTCACCTGCGCAGACAGCAGACAGCAGATCCCAGGCTCTAGGGCCAAAAGCGATTGAGGGGCCCCCACCAGGGAACTCAGTCCCCTCTGAACTAGATGACAACACAAACAGGCCACCATGCACTCTCACAGGGGACACAGGAGGGGGGCTGTGGGGTGGGGTCCTGACTCTCGGTCTCCTTTGTCTTTTTGTTCAGACAGAGTTGTGCCTGTAGCAGACAGCTCTGAATTAAAGCATGAAGACACACACAGCCCCTCAGCCTGGTGTCTTTGTACTGTGTCATTTCTCTAAGTGGGCTAGGGTGGGTGAGAAGCTCACCATGGCACCCAACACAGATGGAACCAGCTAGTGGCTGGCTCAGGCCCTGATGTGTAGGACTCAGGCCTCTCTGCCCATCTAGGGGGTTAGGTACAGGATCTAGAATTCCCACCCTGGTCCCAGGTCACATCCTGCCCAGCCGTCCTGAAATGGCTTCTTTGGCCCATTCTGTGGCTACAAAAACAACCATGCCCATTCAAGCAGGGTCCCAAAATCAGCCTGTCCCTGCCATTCCACAGCCACCTGACCCTCAGCGCCAACATCCTATGACAGACTGGCAAGCATGCCACAACACACAGACTGCTGCTCTCAGAGACACAGATAATGCCATGGCCTGGTCACTGTCCAAAGGAAAAGCAGCCTTGTCATGTCCCATGTCATGGGACCTGGGATTCTGGAATTTCCAGGAACTTTAATGGAAGTTGCTGTGTTTATAAATCCAGTCTTTATGCAAAGACAGTCAAGGTTCACAACTAACCTACAGACAGACAGCCAAGGGTCACAACTAACCTACAACAGACAGTCAAGGGTCACAACTAACTTACAGACAGATAGTCAAGGGTCACAACTACCTACAGACAGACAGTCAAGGGTCACAACTAACCTACAGACAGACAGTCAAGGGTCACAACTAACCTATAGACAGTCAAGGGTTACTTTACACAAGTGATCTATACACATCTGTGATAAAGATCAATGAAGGCAACACACAAGGAATTCCTCTGTCAAGTGACTGACTTCTAGAAGAGGCAAAATTCTGCAAAGGGACCCAGCAGCACTCAGTGACATTCTGCTGTTCTGCCTAAGTGCCCAGCATCTGGAGCACAGAGAACCAAGTGCCTAGGAATCAGGATCCAAGGAGTCAGGAAACAGCAATGACAGACTCATCCACTATATATCCCCCTGGGACATGCCCCTGAAACGCCCAGACCCGAGCAGCAAGCCATCTGCAACTGTTGCCATCTTCGCTGCAGAATGGTGGGAGGCCTGGGCTGCCCTGTGACTTCAGATGTCTGGAATGGAGTGGTCCATGGTGTGCTGCAGCAGCAACGGAGACAACCTAGACAGGGCGAAGATGACAGCGGCTGAAACTGGCAGCTGTCCTTCACCCCCACCCCAGCCTGTCCGCCCCATTCATCCCCCACTTCTAAGGATTTCAAGTCATGAGAAGCCACTAGCCACCATGAACTGAAGAAGAGTCAAAGATAGAACAAAGTGGACGGAGCTCCAGGTCAGCACCGAGGCTGCCAGGGCATAGGAGGTGGAGAGAGAACAGAGGGCAGAGGTGGGTTAACAGCCTTACTTTTTGACCATATGCTCATAGATCACAGTAGGAATGAGGGTCAGTGTGATGATGTTTCCAGCTGTGGTCAGGATCTCTGTAATCTTTTTGTCCTGAAGAGGAGGAAAATGATTGGTCATCGTGGGGAGCAAGAATAGCACTGCTACCTGACTGGTGGGTAGCTCAGCATGGTTGTTCCTAGAGGACACCACCTATACCTCATACCTGCCTGCAGCAGCTGGCTGCCCGGGACCCTGGACATCTCAGGGAAGCTACTGTTCCTCTCATTTGAGAATTGGCCGAATCACAGGACCATGGCACTGGCCTCCCATTCTTGAAGGCCAGTCATGCGGGTCTTACCCCCCAAATGTGATTCTCCAGCTTTGGCCAACTTCACTGGCCACAGTTACACGTGGGCTTCTGTGCGGGACACTAGGTCCACCTACGTGTATCCTCAGGCTCCTGCTGGCTCACCAGTCCGAGCCAGCCACATGGGCCCTCACCTATACCTCCTGACTAGTAAGACTATGAAGAAAACAACAGTCTCCATGCAAACAGTGTTCACCAGACAAATGACTACAATTACGGTAACAAGCCTCTGGTCCCTGATCAGGTCCTAGTGACCATCATTTTGCTTTGCTGACATGTGGGCTCCTGTGGGCGACACGGGGCCCACCTGTGTGTGTCTGCAGGTATGAGATGCCACCACCTGCCCCACGAGCACCATGGGATGGAGAGGCACTTCCATAGTGGCGTGAGTCAGGACTGAGTTGCCCTCACTTGTTCAAGTCTCAAACCACAACTCATTACTGTTCATTCCCAGAAGACACCTCTCTTCCCACATCTACAGCAAGGGCCTACAGCCGTGTGTACCTTCTTGCTCTGTAAAGATAGAATTCACCTACCCTCCCTGAATAAGTCGAGGCCAGAAACGGATTTCCAAATCACAGTTTTCTAAAGGAAACCCCATTACTGAACGTGATCAGCATCCAAACAGAAGCACCGCACAGAGGAGGTGGTGTCCACCTGGGAGCCCATGTCCTCGCACATGACAATACCCCCCACACCGGCACATCTTATCTTGCATGCTAGTTAACTAGAGTGAATTCTTACGGCACCTATACTCATTCTGATTGACACTGCTCAGGCACCACGCACACAGCATACTGAAGTCCCCATCTACCTTAGGATGGGGATGTTGAGGCGTTGGCAGGTTCTACAGCCTCCGCAGACAGGAGCCGTCCCAACCCCACCATCTCCACAGTGCCTGCATTTCACAACAGAGCTACACCACTGCCTACCTTCAGCCCAATCACGTTCTGTCCGTTCACCTCACACACATAGTGGTTGGTGAGAAGTCCATTCCGGGCTGCGGAGCTTCCCTTTACCACAGATACAATCTTCCCCTTCTTGATGAAAAAGCCAACTTGGCCTGAGCTGTCCTTGTGCATCGTGACCGTCCGCTGGAATGGCCTGGTAGAGAGTGACAGTAAGCTGGGCTTGTGGGCGTGGCCGGAACCAGGCAGGGGGGATGCTGGGACCTGGCTACTGACCTGTCCCGCACAATCATGATGATCTTCTCGGCCGATGCCTTCTTCAAGGCTTTGTGAGCTTTGTGTGTGCTCCACCCCGCACAGTCACACCCATCAATCTGCAGGATCTGGTCCCCAAAGCGCAACCCCACGAGGGATGCGGGGGTGTTGGCCTGAACCAGCTGCACAAAGAGCCCCTGGGAAGCAAGACCCCAGAGTCAGTACCCCTGGCCCCTCTAAGATGTTCTTTTCCCCTTACCCTGTGAGCTTACAGTGTAGTGGGATCTAAGATCTGCAGGGGAATACGAAGGTTACCCCTGTTTTCCTGGAGGAGAAAACACACCAGAACCCACAGAGTATGCCAAATTGGGATTTCAGCATTACACTCAACTCTCCTGTAGCACCCTTCCCAACGGCATCTGGCTGGCTTTCTCTGCAGTCATCAGGAAGCCAGACCCATGGGAGTTGGGGTGCAGGAAATGGGGGCTCTGAGAAAAAGGAGCCTAGTATGGGACTTATAAAGGATTCCTGCTGCAATTAGGCTCAGCCTTGAGGCCTCAGGTATTAAGGTGCCCACTTTCAACCTTCCTTACTGTGGGGCTCTCTAATCCCTGGAAGGGGAGGCCCCTGTACACTACGCTATCTCAGACTGCCTGGAAACTGTCCCAAAGGGAAGAGCTTATATTCCTGGGGCTGTGACAAGTACTATTTAGCACCAGGGGGGCACATCGTGCTCTATGGGGCTCCCCCGCAGACCTGGCTTACCTTGTCAACAGTCTGCAGACGTAGTCCAGTCTTGCCACGCTCGTCCTTGCACAGATGGATCTCACGCACTCCGGGCTTGATCTCTGCACGCAACACACCCAGGTTGTTCCCAGAGACTGGTGCTACCACCTGACCAGGCCCAGGGCTAGTGACCATCATCTGCAGACATAGTAGTGGGGAGTTAGCCAGGCACCTGGGGCCCGTGCCTCAAGGGTCTCTGGGTTCCAAGAAGAATGAGTAGGAGATTGAAACAATCCAAGTTACACAAACACACACACGCATGCACACGCGCGCACACACACACACACACACACACACACACACACACTTTGCAGAGGCTGAAAAGGAACTGAGCTTGATACTGCCACTAGAGGGCATCACAATCCATACTACTAAACATGAGAGGAAAGGGAAAGGAAACTGGGCTCAGGAAGAGGCCCCTTTATTTTCCAAAGGAAATGAATATCAAGAAGAGCTCCACTTACAATTCACTTAACACAAGGCCATTTTCACAGCAAATGATGCGCCATGAAAATGAAGGCCTAGGTTTGACTTTGTCTTGAGCCAAGAATAAAAATTAATGACTGGCTCCTTCTAGGAGACCGAAAAGCCATTAGGAAACAGCAGGTGAAGACTCGTCATAACTAGTGGTGACACCGAGTGCTGGTGAGGACGCAAAAACACCAGGCATTTGGCACCACTGGCAGGAGAGGAGAATGCATAGCCCCTCCAGAAAATAGCCTGACAGCTGCCTGTGAACATACACGTATCACATTGTGCAGCAATTGCAGATTCCAGCCTGTTATGCCAAAAAAAGGAAACTTGTATCTATAAGACAGTCTTTATATAACAGCTCTGTATGTAATTGTTAGAAACTATAAAATTATCCTTGGCAGGTAAGAAGCGGCAGCTATGCTCACCTGAGAACCTGAATTCAGATTCTCAGAATCCACATCAAAAACTAGGCACACGACCATGCATCTATCACCCGGTGCGAGGGAGCTGGGAAGACAGAGACAGGAGGATCCCTGCCATTCATTACCCAGCCTGGCTGAATCAATGGGCTTCAGGTTTAGTGTGAGACCCTGTCTCAAAAAATAAAGGTGAAAAGGGCTAAAGCAAGACATCAACCCTAGTCTGCATGCATGCCTGCATATGCGCCCGCACACGCACATGCACACACACACACACAAACACACACATCCACAGACACACAACTAAAACATACATAGAACACCCTCAAAGAGTCATAGTTTCTGGTTTTCGCTTATATAGCATTCTGAAATGATAAAATTATAGACAGAAAACAAGGCTGGGAGTGTGGCACAGAGGTAGAGCATCCTTACACGAGGTACCCAGTACTGCCAAAGAAATAAAAAGACAGGGAGGAGGAAGAGTAAAGAATGGAAGAAAGGAAAGGAAGAGAAGGTTGCCTAGAGTTCTAGAGGGTTGGCGGAAGGAGGAAGTGTGACCACAAAGGGAGAGAAGATCTTCCTGAGGAGAGATGGTCCTACCCAGACCTATAGACACACTCTCCTAGTGTAAATATTGGACTTGCTATTATACTGCAGTTACGACAGCAACACTTGGTGAAGCAGAGTTGCAAGTAATCAGGAAACTACTATTTAAAAACACAAAAAGTTGAAAACGTTGAAAGTAATTACAATAATAAACATTTCTGAGTATGGACCTGGAGAAATGGCTCAGCAGTTAGGAGAACTTGTTGCTCTTGGAGAGGACCCGGATCTGGTTCCCAGCACCATAGGATGGCTTACAACCTTCTAGAACTCCAGTTCTATGGGTCTGCCACCCCCTTCAGGCTTCCTCAGATACCAACCACACATGTAGTACACATATATGCAGGCAAAATAATCATATACATAAAAATATAATAAAACAAATCTTTTAAAAAAACATCCAGGAAGCCAGGCGGTGGTGGTTCATGCTTTTAATCATGGCACTTGGGAAGCAGAGGCAGCCTGGTCTACAGAACAAGTTCCAGAATAGCCAGAGTGACACAGAGAAACCCTGTCTACAACAACAACAACAACAAAATCTAGAAGTGGTACATGACTTTAATTTCAGCATTTGGAAGGTAGAGGCAGGTATTTCTATGACTTTGAAGCTATGGTCTACAGAGTCGGTTCCAAGTCAGCCAAGGCTACACAGTGAGACCTCATCTCAAAAAAAAAAAAAAAAAATCATAAGTCAGGGTCAGTGCAGTGCATCTAGGTTATAAAGAATGGCTGGGTTGACACACGTATATATGCACACATGAACATGCATGCCACACACACACACCTTTTTAAATGGTAAGATCTAGATGTTTAGTGGTCAGCTGAGGCCGAAGACAAATACCTACATTGTCACCATCTGGAATCTGAGGCAGGCTCTTCTGGACTTCTTGGCTAGAGAGGGACAGCCCCATGTAACTCTCCAGTTCTGCCAAATTTGGGTACAACTCTGGTGGGAAGGAGGAGACAAGGTGTCACTCAGCAGTTTGTGCAGAGCTGGCTTTCGTTGGCCAGGGTCATTCATTTTCAGTGAGTCTGGAATACTTTAGAGCACCCTGATCCCCTGGAGCATGTAGCGTGCCCCAGGGATGCTTGCCAGTGGCACGGGCCAGCTCTGCCAAAGGCCTAAAGTACCCTTGTCTAGGAGCAGCCTCAGGCATCACTGAGGTGCTCAGTTCAACTGATTCGGCATCAGCTGGACAGGGGACACAAAGCCAGAGCAGGTGCTGGACTACCAGGGACCACAGGCCATGACGGCGGGCAGCTCAGAGACGCAGCAGAGCACAGAAAAGGGGAACCATGGGCTCCAGTTTCTCTCGTGGGGCTGACCCAAGACCGCTATGGGCTTCTAAAAGGTCTACCTCAAAAATCCGCTCTTCCCAGATAGTCTGCTTATGGTCACACCAAATCAGGCAATTTCTGCCTCACTGTCAGTTTCTCCAGTGTTTCCTCAAAGGGTAAAGGTTAATTGTACACGAGCCCCACCAAGTGACAGGTGAGAAATGGCAAGAATACCTGGCCACATCCTTAGGGTCAGGACAGCGCACACACCCAGAAGAGGGGGCCTGCCCAGGAATAGGAGCCTCAAGTTGCCTTCCATGCCTAGTGAGAAGCCCAGCAGTGCTGGGGTGTGTGATGAAGTTGGAGCTGTCATGACACTGGGGACAGACTCCCTCACCTGAAAGTGGGGGTGCAGAAGCCATGGAGGTTGATGGCGTGGGCATCCTGGGTGTGGCTCTGGCTTGGGCCTGAAAAGAACGTGGAGAGTTGATAGCTGTAGCTGGGACTCGTGGAGCCTGGGACTCCCTGAGGCGGGACTCTGAGCATTGAGTATGATTGTAGACGGGTGGTGGCAGGGTGCTCGATGCTCCAGACCACATGTAAATGTAGCCTCTACATGTGCATGAGTATAAGCCAGGTATACAAAGTCAAATACTGCATCTGCTCACTCACACCAAAGCTAAAAGGATCGTGCTCTGTAGCTCAGTGGAGCAACTACGATGCACAGCCAGCAATGGCTAATATTCCAAAATAGCTCGGAGGTGGTTGAGTATTCCAAGCCCAAAGAACTGACATAAGCCTGGAATGATCAATGTACCAGCCCCTACACCCTATCTGACCAGTACAGTCTGTACACAGGTGGAAATGTCACACACACCCCACAAATATGCATAGCCACAAAGTGTCAATTAAAAATAAAAATAGTATGCTTCTTATGGCTTATGAGAAATGGGGCTCAGCAGCCAAGAGTACTTGCTGCTCTTGCAGAGGACCTGGGTTCAGTTCCCAACACCCACACCACAACTCACAACCGTCTATAACTTCAGTTGCGGCGGATCTGACACCCTATTTCAGCCTCTGTGGGTACCAGGCATGCACATGGTACATATACATTCATGCAGGGAAAACACGTATAAAAAGTATAAAAATAAATAAATCTGTCTTAATGTGCCCTCTTTGAACATGCATCTCTCTGGCATGCATTTCTCTGGGGCCTGTAGCCAATTATTTTCTTCCCATGGCAGCCGAAGCATGAAAGCCCAACTCCCCACCGAGTTTTCAGGAGGAAAGGCTGAAATTCCCAAAGACTTCTAGGAACTCAGAGGGGCTGGAAGAAGATGTCTGGGGTTGAGCACGCTGAACCCTGCATTTCCTGGGGAAACTGGCTGGCACCTGGGGTGCTCCTTCAGAGGATGCGGAAGTGCCAGAACCCACATGACTGTGGCTGCTTTTTCTTCCTCTCAATGGGCCTTGACTCCTGGACTCTCCCCTCTACCCATCAGCCCAGTGGTTCCCATCATTCCTTGTGCTGTGACCCATTAATACAGTTCCTCATGTGTGGTGACCCCCCCAACCATAAAAATATTTTTTTGTTACTTCATAACTGTCATTTTTGCTACAGTTATGGATAGTAATGTAAACATCTGTGTTTTGCGATGGTCTTAGATGACCCCGGTGAAAGGGTCATTCAGCTCCTAAAGGTGTCTAGACTCACAGGTTGAGAGCCACTGCATCAGCCTCTGCACTGGTCCCAGGGCTTCCAAGGAATTCCCAAGGGCTCCCAGTACCCAGCATCCGCCAAGACAAGCTTTAGTTACTAGGGCTAATTCCCAAGGTCACCATAAAGGACTCTAGACAAATGGAGCCTGTTTCCTTACCTGGATGACTTGGCCCACCTTCAGGTCCTCCAGAGATGGGTACAGGACAGACATACCTGCTCCTCGAAAAACCCTGTAGAGCAGAGAGGGTGAGGAAGTGAGGATGCAGCTCCCAACCTTCTGAAAAAATGCAGGACAGCTGGCTCCTGCCACCTGTACCCCATAGCACTCTAAGACCACCACCAGGAGTTGCTGTCCCATTTTAGGGATGAAGAGCCAGGATTTACAGCAGTCTGTTTCTCAAGCTCATAATCTCCACCCATAAAATCCCACATCTGACTGATCCAGAACCAAACCTAGTGGATCATTCAAGATGTATCCAGAAGAGGCAGGGTCAAGGGCCATGTGTCAAAGGTCAGGTGAACCAGTGAGTTTTCCTCATCCACATCCAATTCAGCAGGTGCACATGGAGCAGCTGTTGCACACCAGGTAGGGCTGGCAGCTGGCACAGCACCACTCACAACCAGAAGCAGGTTGGGACAGAAAGGTGGGAGACTCTAGGCTCTCTCCCAGCCCTTCCTTTTACCATGAGTGTTTCAGCACCACAGTGTACCACTGTCTTAGGCAGGGCTTTTACTGCTGCGATGGAACATCATTGATGACCTAAGTCACAAAACAATCCCTCCCCAGTTCAGAATTATGAATAATAAAAGGGCTATTGAGTTAAGGGGAAAACTTACAGATCACCGTCCTAGACAACAGTCCTCTGTGCAAACAGGAACAGAGTCTAGCACCAGGAAGCAGGAGCCGGAGGCAAGAGAGTAGGCTCTTTTACAGTATAAGAGACCATGCCCAAGTGGGCTGGTATCTTAAAGGCTATTGGCTGAAGGAGTGGAATGTGCTCCCACAGCACCTCCCCCTTTTGTTTAAATAAGAGAATTCCAAACCCAATACAAAACTATATACACTAGAAACAGATATCAAGTATAATTAGAATTACAACCAGCATAAACAATATTAAGCAAGGAACTTATGCTAAATGTTTTAATAAACATTCCATCCTATGGAGTCTAAGCAATCTGTAAGTTTTCCCCTTAAATAACCCTTTTATTACTCATAATTCTGATCTGGTGAGGGACTGTTTTGTGACTTACGTCATCATCTGGCGCCCCTGACTCTGTCATACTTCCTGCCCTCTACCAAGCAGGCCACTCACTCCAGCTGGATACCACACCCTACCTCCCTGTCACCTCCCTCTTGCTGGACCTGCCTCCTAGGTAAAGGTCACTGCCCTGCACACTGGGCCCTATCACCAGGATAGTCTCTGAGCTATATACCCACCTCGAACTCTTTAGCTATCCCCTGCCTTTCCGGTTCATGGCCACTATTCATGGTCAAGGTATGTCCTTCTGGCCCACATGTAACAGGAATGCCAGGAAGTGGCATGGGGAACTGACTAGGCTACACCATGATGTGTGAAGCCAGCCCCATGACCCTGCATGACCCACAGGGCACTGAGGGCATTCTCATGAGTCACTTCTCCCTCTGTACCTGCTGCCTCAAGCCATGTCCGCCTTAGCTACCCTCCCTCCACCCTTCCCATGTAGTATCAAGTCCCTCCCACCCATGTCTCTGCCCTACAGACCTCCTTCACTGTTCCGTCGCTCATCAATGCCACAGCATCCCCTAAATAGGCCATGGCTTCCTCTTTCTCCGCTCCCCAGACAGTAGGCAGCAGGCCTTTTAAAGCATGAAGCCAGGATGCCGTGGCTTTGCTTGAAGCCCCGGGCCTCTTGGGAGGCAGGAGCTAATGCAGAGGCCTTGGAGGAGCGCTGCTTGCCAGCTGCTCTCCATGACCCCTTCATACCTCCAAAACCAGTACCACTGGGGTGAGTCTTACACTACCAAGCCCAGCTGCCAGCCCATGGCACAGCGTTGGCTGCATCTAGAACACAGCTTCTGTGTGCTGATCTCAGGAAACGCTTCCCAGATCTCACCTGACTAACGTGGGTCTCTTAATCCTCTCTAATTCTCAGTTCCAGCTGGCTAGCTTCTACTGGCCAAGGAAGTGATGGTTATTTACTTCAGTGGCGCTGGTCTCTTACTAATTACAGCTGAGTCTTTAGTCCCAGCTGGCCAGAACCACATTCTTAATTCAAAATATCAAACGGCCCCACTAGGGCCTTTGCTTCTCTCTGAAACTTCGCAAGCCGGGTCTCCGCCATCTTCACTGCTTTTGGCACTATCCTCTAACCTTCAAGTTCTCTCAGTAGTAGCTCACCAAACTCTGAACACTCAATCGTTTTTTCCAGCCCGAAGTGCCAAAGCCCTTCCACAATCCTCCCCAAAATATGGTAAACCACAGCAATAGCCCACAATCCTGCTATCAAGTTCTGCCTTAGGTTTATTAATTATGTCATGAAACACAGCAACTTATGACCAAAAACAACTTGGGGAGGAGAGGGTTTCTCTTACTTTCATATTTGGAATCACAGTCCATTGAGGGACACCAAGGTAGTAATTCAAAATGAACAGGAACCTGGAGGCAGGAGCTGATGCGGAGGCCATGGAGGAGTGCTGCTTACTGGCTTGCTCCTCATGGCTTGCTCAGCCTGCTTTCTTATAGAGCCCAGGACCACCAGCCCAGGAGTGGACCTACCCACCAATGGGCTGAGCCCAGGAGTGGACCTACCCACCAATGGGCTGAGCCCTCCCAAACCAACCACTAATCAAGAAAATGCTCAACAGGCTTGCCTACAGCAGATCTTATGGAGGCATTTTCTCACAGAAGTTCCCTCCTCTCAGACAACCCTAGCTTGTGTCAAGTTGACATGAAAATAGCCAGCACACACACACACACACACACACACACACACACACCATTAGCTTCCCTGGAACATAGCCTATATTTCCTAAAATGGCCCCAAGGGCTTCCTAAATCTTCTCTGGAATGGAACTGGTGGTCCAACGGCCATATATAAAGAAATTGTACTTGACCTTGCAGAATATTTAACAATTTGCTGCTTAAATGCAGAATTGTAGATGCTACCCTTCTCATTGGTCCTGGAAAAACAGGAAGCTTTGGCAACTGAAGCTTCAGCTGAACATCCCCAGACTCCAGTGTGCGAGGCCACCACTCTCCATCGCCTCTTACACCCAAGCCACTTTATTCACTGGCATTGAGTTCCAGTAGATTTTTGTTTGTCATTTCGACTTCACTCCCCAGTTCCACATCTTTCTGCTCCCCCAACCCCTACTCTCAACTGCTGCAACAATGAAATATTTTCAGATACCGGCATGGATGTCACTCTCTCCCTCGTCTCTCAGCCTTAGAATGGTAGTCCCTCTGTCTGACAGGGACTGTCTGAATCGCAACCTCTGGTCCTTGTCCAGCTCATTCCTAACAATTCTCAAGTCTAAAACCATTGGATCCTTCACACAGGAAGCCTGCTTTGATTGGTCCATGCTGTAGTGCTCCCCGTGTCTTTATCCTGTTTATTAACCAGTCTTGTCCCATGGTTTGTTAGACTGGGAGTCCCCAGAGGGCCTTCTCATTGGCTGCAGAACCTAGAACCCTGTGCGTGGAAGCTAATGCAATGATATGGCAGAGGCACTACATCTGAACTACCACTCTTCCCCTTGTAAAGCAAAGTTCTGTTATTTCAAGGCCATGCCCTTCTTAAGAATGGAACCAAGAACCAGAGATCTAAATGCACCTTGTGAGGCTTTTTTGTTTTTAAAATATGCATTGGTGTTTTGCCTGCATGTATGTCTGTATGAGGGTGTCAGGTGCCCTGGAAATGGAGTGACAGACAGTTGTGAGCTGCCATGTGAGTGGTGGGAATTGAACCTAGGTCCTCTGGAAGAATGGCCAGTGCTCGTGACTGCTGAGCCATCTCCCCAGCCCCCACCTTGTGTGTCTTAATCCTGTGTAGTTCCTTAAATATGAATTGTCAGATTATGGACCTGCCCCTTTAAGATGATCACTCTAGGGGACCAGATCCTTCAGCCTGATTTATGATCCTACCCAGAACCAGGCTCCTCTATGCTCCTTGTCACATGGTCTCTCCTAGACTAAATCATGTGGTGTGGCATTTTCTGCCACTCTCTAAAAGGACATAAAACTCAAATAGTTTCCCACAGCTCACTCCTCCCTGATTTGTCTATGACAGTTTCTCTCTGTCTCTGCCTCCTCTGTCTCTCTCGTTCCTCTCCAGGTTTTGAAGGGAAGCCCTAATCATGTTTTTAGTAGAAGACGCATCCTTCCGAATGCTCTCCCTTGTCAAGGCCTGGCCATGGCTCCTGTGATCTCAAGGCTTTCCCCCAACAAAGTTCATTCTGAAGAGTACTTTTGTGTCTGCTTCTTTCCAACACGGTGCCCAACTTACCCAACTGCTTGCAGCCCCTCTTCTCTGACATGAACCTGTGTCAGAGAATCTGAAAATAGGAAATTCATTGCTAATCTGTACTGAAAAATATAAATAGCTGACCAGGGAAGTAACATCGCCAGGACTCCTTGGCTGCTGAAGGAGACAGCTGCGGTCCTCAGTCCTAAGCTAGTCTTCGGGGGCAAGAATGACTATCCTAAGACAAGAATTCCCAGGAGAAGGGGCCAGTATGACTCTAACCTTTTAGATCAGCTAAGGGAAAACTTCTTCTGGAACCTGCCCTACAGAGCACCCTCCAGGTGGCTTTTAACCTTTAAATAACGCCCAGCAGTTACCATATACCAAATTTGCTCTGCCACCAGAAGTATGCACTGCACAAATACGAACCTAAGAGACCACCCTGTCTACCTTTTTCTGTTGTTCTGTTGTTGTTGTTGTTGTTCGAGACAGGATTTTTCTGTGTACCTTTGGAGCCTGTCCTGGAACTCACTTTGTAGACCAGGCTGGCCTCGAAATCACAGAGATCTGCCTGCCTCTGCCTCCTGAGTGCTGGGATTAAAGCGGTGCACACACACACACCCCAACTATGTCTACCTTTTTCTAACAGTTCAGCAATAGAGCAGGCGCATTTTGCAGTTGCCCTCTGAGAGAAAAGAGGTCCAGAGTCCACTAGAAGGGGCGGTGCAGTCTTTTATTGCAGGCTGCTTGGTGGGTATTCTTTTATTGCAGGCTGCTTGGTGCATAGTCTTTTATTGCAGGCTGCTTGGTGGGTATTCTTTTATTGCAAGCTGCTGTTCTTCCCCTCACTACAAGGCGTCCTTGCCTGGGCAGTAACTCAAAGACGAACCCTGTGACTCGTCCCTTCTCTCTAGAAATGGAAGTGAGTAGGCACAGACTCTGCACACTTCACGCACTAAGGATCCGGGAGCGTTCCAACCGTCCAGGGACCATCCTCCGTACGCAACTACGTCACACGATTCCATGACCATCCACCCCACAAGCGGCCTACACTTCGCAACCCCAAAGCTCAGAGCCCAGCCGGAAGCCGCGTCATCCGTGTGGGCTACAACAGAAATCCCGCTCGCTTGCGTGCGGTGCCAATGGCGCATGCGTGCCCGGCCCTCTCGCTGGGGGCTCCCAGGATACCCCGCGGCTGCAGAGCCACCATAGCAACCTATTGCGGCTGAGTTGCAGAAGGTGCTAGTAGAATCCACCCAGCCTCTGATCTCCTTCTGGCGTCGGTATCCAGAGTCCAGCAAGACAGCAGAGTACCGGACGCGAAAACCAGTCAAGCTCTGCAGCCCTCCCTCCTCATGTGTACCCAAAGAGACTCAGAGCCGGTGCTTCTCCCGAGAGCCCCTTGTTGGTCGTAGCTGGTAACCCCGCTTTACTTACTGGGCACTAAGGCAGCAGTGGATGGGAGAGGAGAACAGAGTTCACATCGGGCCCCGCTGCTCGTTCTGAAAAGGAGAGTCCCTCTCCCTTTTAGTTTAGAAGCGCCTTCAAGTTCCTAGGTGTTGCCTCTGATGTCCCTCTCTCCCACGCCCTCAGGATTCCGGCCTGACCCTGACTCTTGACCTGCCCTGCTTGAAAATGCACCCCGCACACACACCTACAGGCACCAACCACCAGTGATGAAACTATTGGCTGCCTGCTGCCCAGGGAAGCGGACTTGGCTGAGAGAATCACTTTCCACAGACAGTCAGATTAATCACCTTTCAAAAGGGACTCAGGCAATGGACTTCATAGGGTGCAGGGGAATAGCTGGAAAAGCAAGGAAGGCCATCTCCGAGGGAGAAGACCCGCCTATGTCCATGAAGAATGGGGAGTTTAGGCCAGTGAAGGGAAAGTGGACTATTCCTGGCTAGGGAGTTCGCTAGGGAGTTCCACCTACTGTTTGGATATTTATTACCTTCAAGAGACTTTCTGGGGGCTGGAGAGATGGCTCAGTGGTTAAGAGCATTGCCTGCTCTTCCAAAGGTCCTGAATTCAATTCCCAGCAACCACATGGTGGCTCACAACCATCCTAATGAGGTCTGGTGCCCTCTTCTGGTGTGCAGGCATACACACAGACAGAACATTGTATATATAATAAATAAATAAATATTTTTAAAAAAAGAAAAAAGAGACTTTCTGGAAGTTTCCCCAAATCTTGACAGCAGCCCCACCAAATACACCCACGGGCTGCGCCAGAAATCTGAGTTACCGTCAGCCCCTGCCTTTACCTTCTGGGAGAAGAGACCCCTAGCTCTTGACATCAGAATTAATATCAGACTTCAAAAATGTCCTGAGTGACTCCTGGCGGGTATGTCTCTGTCGCTCACTGCATTTTGTTCATTTCACACGGCTTGTTGCTCAAGAACTCAGCCTGCTCCCCATGCCTGTTCTCCGTGCCGGCTCCCCGAGCCTGCTCCCCCGTGACCGCTCCGTGTGCATGCATGCTCTGCAGTGCTGTTCCCTGTCTTGAATGCCATCCACAGTTCATGTGGCGAACCATTCTGTTCTAAGCCTCCCTCTAAAATATCCTACCCCCACACAGCCCCCAAGGTTCTTCAAAAGCTATTCCCCCTAGACCACAGCATCTCATGTATCCCTAGTTAATATTCACTCGACAGATGTTTGGGAAGCACTGAGCCAAGCCTCTGCGTTTTCCTGGGACTGAAATCCCACCACGCTGTTGAGTTTGCCTGTCATCCTCACTGGCCAAGCCCAGAGTCTTCCTAAAGTTAGAGGAGGAGAAAAGCAGACGCTAGGAAGAGAATTCTGACACCTAGTGAGCCACTATTTCCTCCCAAATGAAACAACAGCCCCAACCCGGAAGGGAGTGGGGAACCTAAGGAAGCACAGGAGACTCTGAGAGGCTCGGAAAGGTGTGACCCGCAAAGCCCTCCCCGAGTTATATAAGCAAGTGAGCAATTGTCAGGGAAGATACGGCTCTTCTGAGGAGTGATCTGCAGTCGCTCCCCTTGCTGGAGTGGGCTCTTCTGTGACGTAGCTGCCTTCGAGCCACCCAGGCTCTTTCAACCCCACTAAACTCCATGGTTTTGCCACCGTAGACGTGGGGTCTTTTATTTGGTCTGTCATTGGCTCTGAGGTGAACAGATGTTTGTTCACATCCCTAGGAATGTCACCTGACACCTAGTCGCAATGTGTAGAAAGTCCTTGGAAGAATAACTGGCGTACAAAAGGAAGCGACAGCCCTAATGAGGGACACAGAAAGTCCTGTGACAGGTCGTTAGCTTCTTCTTCCTTGCACCTGGAGGGACTTTCCTTCCCCACACCTTTCTGATTCCATCCCAGAGCTTTCTATAGCTCTCCATATCGCAAGCAACAATAACACCCACAGCATATCTATCAGCAGTCAGACCCTATGGAATCAGCAGGGCTGGAAGGGGGCCCATCAGCCCCCGTCTTTGAACTTGGAGAACACTCTGTTCCAAGCTGCTGGAGCTATGGGACTCCCACTTGTTCCTGCGGACAGCTCATCCATCCTTCAGAACACAGAAGCGTGGGTTACTGCAACGGAGTAAATAATTCCCGTAAGGCCAGATTAGCCCAGGGATCTGGTGAATCTGCGAGGAGGAGGCTGTTGCTAAGCCACAAGCATGTGCCCTCTCTGTTCAGGGCTGAGCTGTGCCAGAGGGAACCGGACTCGGGAAATGCTATTCCCCCAGTGAAGGGCCAGGGGAGGCAGAGCAAGCTGAGATGTTAGAGAGAGGCCCAACCTACTGCCTCCGTCTGACTGAGAGCAGAGACCGGGCAAGGCTCAACGGCATTTCTTTTGTAATAACACTTTCACCACGGAGTTATCTGGGCGTTAGAAGATTAGCTAATAATAAATAAATAAATAAATAAATAAATAAATAAATAAATAAGATTAGCTAAAAGCGATGCACATAAAGACCACCTAGCACAGTGCCCAGCACAGGTAGGCAACTCCATACCAGCTGTCTGCTCAGCGCACATGTGTTCTTAGCACCCCTTAAGTCCAGGTACTGTTTGGGACAGCAGCAGTAAGAAGTGAGCAAAACTGTCACTCTTAGAAGCAGGCACTTCGTATTGAAGAGCTGAATTAAAAAGTTCCAAGACTCTGTAGGCTGTGCCAAGAGGGGGGAAGAACTGGGGAGGAATATGAAGCAGGACGGAGAGCAGAGAGAGGCAGTAGGACTGGGGAGGCTTGCTGTGGGACGAGAGGCGTTTGAGCAAAAGCTTAAAGGGCAGGGTGGGCAAGAACAGTCCAGGGAGGCAGGGCCACTGCACACCCTGAGCTGAGAGTGTCCTCTGTGTGGAGGGACACCTGACCTGAGACTGAAGTTAGCCGTTCAAAGGACTCCGAGGGAGGAAACCTGCGAAGACGGGGGACCTCCAGAGAGAGGTCCTGGAGGGCTTGAAGGTCTCGGTGAGAACTGGGCCTTTCTTGAGTGAGAGAGCCACTAGCGAAGTCTGAGCACCCGAGAGCCACAGCCTTTGTGGCCTCTTGGCTAGTGGCGGTGGAACAGACTTGAGGCAGGGGTAGAAGTATAGAGGGCGGAAAATAGTTCACTTCAGACACTGCCTGAGCCTGGGGTCAGAAGAGGAAGGCTGTGCACCCATTGCATTCCAAGGGCGAAGCACGTTTAGAAAGGAGCTGCCCAGGAAGTCCTAGACCACAGGACGAGGGAGGAAAGAAGTGGCCTTTGACCAGGTCTTGCTTAGCTCCTCGGTCCCAACCAACACAGATTCTGTTCTTACCTGCTGGCCAGATGCTCTGTATCCGTCTCCGGCCACTGCAGAGTCTCTCGGGATGTGCTGGTGGCCTGTGTTCCAGTTGGATCCCTGCTCCGGGAAGGTGGTGCCCGCCCCTTGTTCAGCTGACTCACAGTGAACTGGGATGGGCCCAGGTTAGGCTGTGGCTAGGTAAACAGAGCTGTCACCAGGCCCACATGAGGCCTCTGCCTTACTCCAGACACAGAGGTGGGCTTAGGGACACACAGCTGATAGGAGTAGGTGTGCAAACCAGGGCTACTCGGCCCTGTGAGGAAGGCAGCCCTGTGGCTGTGGAGGCCTCGCTCTGAGGGGGAAGTCAGCTGACTGGAGAGCGGTGGGATAAACAGCCTGGGTTTTTTAGGGTGGCCATATTTTGTAACCTAGTGTACTTCTTAGAAAGGGTCTCTGACTGAACCTAGGGCTCACCATTTTGGGTAGGCTGACTGTCCAGCAAGCCCCTGGGATCTGTCTCTACACCCCCTGTGCTGGAGTGCTGGAGTTACAGATGTGTGCGGCTGTTCACAGCTCTCACATGGGTGGTGAGGTCCTCATTACCCACGGAACCAGCCAGCCAGTCATGCTTATCAATTTCCCAAGAGAGCAGTAAACATGGATCTTTAAAAAATTAACTGATTGTCTCCTGGAAGGAGAATTAAGGAACTATGTTGCGATAGTGTTGGTGCAGGACGTTTTTTCCTTTATTTCTTTTTGTCATTTTTTAAAAGATTTATTTCTTTATTAAGCATACAATGTACTGCTGGCAAGGAAGGCACCAGGTCTCATTACTGATGGTTGTGAGCCACCATGCGGTTGCTGGGAATTGAACTCCGGACCTCTAGAAGAGCAGCCTCTCTCCAGCCCTTGTCATTTTTTTTTCTTTTGACACAGAGTCTCTCTATGTGGTCTTGGCTGGCCTGGAGCTGACTCTGTAGACCAGTCTGACTTTGAAGTCACAGAGATCCGCCTGCCTCTGCCTCCCAACTGCTTTGTTTAAGGTTCGTGCCACCATGCCCAGCTTCTTTGTGTGTTTTAAATTTTGAAATTTTTAAATGTATATTTATCCCACTAAATAATCATATGAACGTCAAGTTAAACAGAGGAGGAGGAATTCCTGGTGGGTGCAATTGGATGACGTTGTCTAGGGAGGAACCTAGGAGTCATGTGCTGGGCAATCCCCTAAGGAATGACGGAGTGCACCTGCCTACTCAAGGTGGGGCGAGTTTCAGGGATGGTTGCCAGGCAGGCTCACCTCACAGTTCCCATGATGAGTCTGGCAGGATTGTACTAACAGCAGATCCAGAGCCATTGCCTGCCTGTGAGGAGCCTACAGCCCAGAGTGCTGCACACAGAACACATCCCAAGAATGGCTGACACCCCGTTCACGTGGCCTTTCGCCTCTGACTCTGAGAATCGTCATCTTGTATCGCTTATGTTCCCAAAGGCTGGAAACTCAACCTGTTGTTCCTTGAGTGCAAGGCCTACATGCTAGATCTACAAAGGATGTTCTCAAAATAAATACCACAACCAGGGCTGTGACCAGGATTTAGTTCTGTTTTTTATAGACTTGCAAGAATAATATTAATAGGTTCCAAACACTGGAGGCTAAATGTGCAGCTTTCCTTCAGAAGCTCCTTGACAGTGCTGCGGGAGACCTGAGCAACCAGCCACGGCACCTTCGCTCTGAGCTCATGGCTTGTTCAGAATCCTCCAGGCACGCAGGGTGCTAGGGTGCTGGTGGTGCACACCTTTGATCCCAGCACTCAGGGGACAGACGCAGGTGGATCTCTGTAAGTTCGAGGCCAGCCTGTTCTATAAAGTAAGTTCTAGGACAATCAGTGCTATATAGAGAAACTCTGTTTTGGGAAGGAAAAAAAAAAAAAAGAATCCTCAGCTCACCTGGAGGCTGCAGGCTGCAACTGTCACCTCAAGTTGACCTATGAGGTAACAATCCTGTGCCTCCACGTTGGCAGGGTGTTGTCTGTGAGCTTCTTAACCCTGAGGCCTAGCATCATGCCTGCCACATGGAAGACTCTGTAAGTACTTACTCAAAAGACACATGTCCCTCCTAGAAAAGACAAAAAGTTACAGAACTTAAATATTCACCCATACTTAAAGGAAGGGTTGGTTGGGTTATTGGAGGTGAGTCCCAGACTCTGACATCACACTGGTTTCTAAATCTCTGAGCTGGGTTTTCCACAGCCAGTTGTTCCACAGGCTTGTCCCCAGCCCGACATGCATTAGTCACGGTGTGACATGGAAAAGGGAGGTCACTGCCACAGTCCCATCTCTATGACTTAAGATGGACTTAGAGCCATGTGGCTGTGTGGCAAGGGAGGAATGGACCACAACGTTGAGAGCTGTGACCGCCAGGGCAATCTGGGGGACTCAGTGTGGCAGGTGAGTAACAAGAGGCTTTGAAAATGTCTGAGTCGCAGGAGGCAAATGTCTCAAGGAAAGCACAAAGCCAGGCAATGTGGTACACGTCTTTAATCGCAGCACTCGGGAGATAGCGGCATGTGGATCACTGAGTTTGAGACTAGCCTGGAGGTTGATGCCTAGAGAAGATCATTGCATTGACACATGTGTGCTAACCAAACCACTTGAGTTATACACGTGTCCTGCAGGCAGAGCGTCGGTAGAAAGAATATTGGCGATACCTCTAGGAAGAGGTAATGGAGAAAATGGAGTTGGGGACAACTTGCTGTTATTCTGAAGTAGCAACAGCAAGATGGATAGTTTCCTTGAATCAGGATGGCTATTTCTCTACTTGCCGGGTTAGTCACAAGCTTTACAGAGTTGTATCATATAAAGCTAATTTTGAAAGCATTCCTAAAGCTGATCACGGTAGTGCATGCATTTGGTACAATAAAGTACAATGATTTCCTTGGGTTGGAGACCATCTTGCATCTTGGGCTATACAGTGAATCCCAGGCCAGCCAGATACAAAGCAAGACTGTCTCAAAATAAGTAAACATGGAGGATAGGGAGAGGTGCTGTGAAATGCTGTTCTCTAGATAGCACGCGGCTGTTACACACATAAATCCACGGTAGCTATGGTGACCTGTACGCATTCAAGCCGGTTCCAGTTCCAGTATGGATCATGGCGTGACCTACCCGAGGCCCTACCCGAGCTGAGGAGCTATTGGCAATTATTGCAAGGTAACTTCTCCCCCACCTCTGCTCCCTCTTCTATCTTTACATCCCTCCCTGATAGGGCATCACTATGTAGCCCTGGCTAGCCTGGAACTCAGTATGTAGACAAGAATAGCTAGCATAGGACTCACAGAGATCCACCTGCCTCTGGCTTCCAAGTGCTGGGATTAAAGATGTGCACCACCATGCCCAGTCTGAGAGCCACTTTTACTTGGAAAAGCCTTTTAGCAAACTTGAGACCCTTCTAAAATGAATGGTATGTGGACATCTTTCTAAACTTTAAGCTTTTAAACTCAAGACATGGTCGGGGTTGGGGAGTATATTATGAACATCTACAGACAGCTGAAGATTGACATTTTTAGCCGATATTGGAATTTCCAATGAGAATCAAGGTTCTTCAGCTGGAGTCTGAAGGATGTAGGAAGGTTAAACTTGGTAGGGTTTATTCCTATGGACTGGTGGGCTGGTGGCTCATGGGGTGGTGGAGTTTTCACTCTCGAGTATGAAGTATGTGACTAGTGCTTAAGAGACCATGTGATCACTGTGGCCACGGTTTCCCGACGCTGACCGCTCTATGTGTCAGCCCGCTTCTTTCAGTTTGTTTTGAGACGATACCTTCAAGTGAGATATTTGGTGATCAAGTGAAGGCGGTGTGTCTAATGGCCTCCAAGCCTTCTTTCTCAAGATTTTACAGACGAAGAAACTGAAGACCGAGTTTAAGTTTCATGCCCAAGGTAAGAAATGAAAGTCAGACTAAAAGCCAGGCAGTCTAGTTTGAGTCAATGCCCTTAACTCATTGTGTGTGTGTGTGTGTGTGTGTGTGTGAGAGAGAGAGAGGGGGGGGGGGGGGGGGGGGGGGGGGGGGGGGGGGGGGGGGGGGGGGGAGGGGGGGGGGGAGGGAAGGGTGCAGCTCCTCTTTCCCTCTGTGGTAGTTGTCCCAGTTTTCTCCTCTCTGATTCCAGGAGGAAGGAGGAACCAGGTGGAGCCACAGACCCTGCATTTCACTTGGGAAGCTGGCATATCAAGCAGGTTTGGGACTGCCCAGCTACAGAGAAATCTAAAAAAAAGCTTTCAACCAGAGAGGGCCTGAGGCTCCACTGAGAGCTAGGCCCCTGCAGCACAGGGGTGGAGTGCCTTAATGCAGAGCTACCCAAGTGTCTTGTGCAAAACTGCAGGGCTCTGGGTTGCATCCAGAACAATGATTCAAGGACACCCAGTTGAATTTTAAATAAAATATCCAATCTGCTTACTAAGTCTTTAAATTTTAAAGCAAATCTGATGTGCCCATTTAAAAAGTTGATCACTTTTGCTTATAAAATTGCATTTCATTGCTCCCTTAGGTGACCAAAATTCTTCATATCTAAACTTCACTAAGCAATTTTTGCTATAATCACAAACTATAGAAATGAGCCCTGAAAGCAGTCTAGCAGTCGGTACTTCTAAGGGTATTGCCTGGCTGTGAAAATCAGTCTTAGGCACACTTGGCAAGCTCTCTTTCCTCGTGACATCATTTCAGATAATGAGGTTCTGAGGGATCCAGCCTGGTGAAATTCTGGTTTCCTGACTGGCGCCCAAACTGGAGCGCTGACAGTGATGACGCCTAACTCACCTCCACCTGCTGGCTGGCATGTTCCCGGGACATCAGTCATCTAGTACATCTTCATTCCAGAAATACTGTAAGACACTGGGACATGCAGTGTCTAAGAACTACTCGTGACCTCGTAGTTCACTTTCCAGGAGACAGCAACTGAGCCCAACAGGACAGAGACATAACAATAGGCAGGAGACAACACTGCTTTCTTTTTTGGAAATAATTTATTCAGGAGCTGGAGAGATGGCTCAGTGGTTAGGAGCATTGCCTGCTCTTCCAAAGGTCATGAGTTCAATTCCCAGCAACCACATGGTGGCTCACAGCCATCTGTAATGTTTGGTGCCCTCTTCTGGCCTGCAGACATACATACAAATAGACTATTGTATACATAAAAAATATTAAAAAAAAATAGAATAGAAAGCCCCACTAACAAGGAGAAAAGTACTAGTCCTACTGGGTGCTGCAAGATTCACCCAAAGTGCCGGGCTGTGGTGGTGCACGCCTTTAATCCCAGCACTCGGGAGGCAGAGGCAGGCGGATCTCTGGGAGTTTGAGGCCAGCCTGGTCTACAAGAGCTAGTTCCAGGACAGGCACCAAAGCTACAGAGAAACCCTGTCTCGAAAAACCAAAAAAAAAAAAAAAAAAAAAAAGATTTACCCAAAGCTCTGCAATATTGGATATGATCAATGTCAAAGGCTAAAGGCTAACTGGGGCCAAAGGTTTTCTCATTTTAGAGACAACATTTGGATCTGGTCCACAAGTCCATCAGTCTTTGGAGGCAGTAAGCCCTTCAGTGTTCTGTTTTGTCACACTGAGGGCAAGAGGTCTTAGAGGGTATCTGGGTTGTTTC